CCCACCCCAGGTTCCTGGTACATGTAGTCTCAGCACGTCGTGTTCATGACTCATGATCAGTCCCTGCCCAGGAGTGTGATAAAACTGCACTGTGACAAACGGCACAGTCAGGCTGCACCAATACTCGGGATCAGGGCCAGGCCAACACAATTATGAGTTTCTACAGATAAAGAAATACAAAAGAAATCCCCAAGGATAAAAAAAGCTGAGTCACTGTATGTCTGACTCTGTTTGCAAAGACAATTCTAAAGATTGCAAGTACAGAGACAAAATGGTGAACAATTATTATTGTTTGATTTGTATCAATGTTTATTGTAGATATACAAAAACTCCTAGTTAAAGCTCTTTGTAAGTGTCTCTATTGCATGTAGGTTTAGATTTATTCACTATTTTTTGATGGCAGTTAAAATCTATATACAAACTACAAAGAGATTGCAGAAAGAGTTCTCCCCATTTTATCCCCATTTTATTTGAACCTTATTGCTGCTGCCTATAACCCATAACCAATTTAGATACTGTACCAAGTGTCTACCTTAGCAATCTAAAAAGATGTCCCAGAAAACAAAGACTTAAGTTTCCCCGGCCCTCCCTCCATGATCATTAGCAGTCCCCCAGTGTAACCCATGTTTGATGCGTCTGCAGTCCTCACAATTTATTGCCTGAGCGTCAGATGAATAGGTGCAGAAATCGACGCAGCTTCGTGTAAGGGAGACAGACAATAACGATTTCCAAAGCCACATGCTACCCTTTTGTAACTATTCTACAATATCCACTGTTGCAAAATATTCCTTCTATATATAAAACAAAGCAAAAAATCTACACATTGAAAATATTACATTTTGAATTGTTTCGGATGACTAGGTGTAGAAAAATTGATGCAGCGTTGTGAAAGGAACGTAGACAATATTAACTATTTCCAATGCCACATGCTACCCTTGAGTTGTGCAACCATTTTACAATATCGAGTTGCAAAATACATATTTTGTCTACAAAATAAAGCATCTACATGTCAAAAATATAGATTCTAGAATTTGCATAGCTGACTCTTAGTCTTACTACTAAATGCCAAAAAAAAACTTGGGAATAAAAAATGGCATGCAATTACCATATGTATAATGCCTTATGACTTATATTAGTACATGTAATTAACAATTCCCATGCTAAGGTAGTCTTTTGTCTCTAGATCTGTGCATGTTACGGGGTTAGGCAGCAGGGAGGAGGTTAAAATGTAGTCTTACAAAATCTCCTTCTTTCCCTCCCAAATCCATCCATTTTAAAGCTTCCCTAGGGTATAGTTGAGCGCTCGACTTACTGCTGTCAATTTTTGGCAGGAGTCCCATACTTGAACTGTGTGAGCTTTCAATATAAATCAAATGTCTGGATTTCTGTCTGAATTCATAGAAAATATTGCTTGCAAACTGTACCATATCAAGTCAAATATCTGGGTTTTCTATCTTATTTTCTACAAAATATTGCTTGCAAAACGGTATCCTTTCATTGTACTGGAGATACATCCCAATCGGTGATTGCAAGACTAAAGAGTTGTCTATCCAATCTACATATAGCATAGATTATAAAGGTGTCAACTACACCACTGTACCTATGTAGAGGTAGAACAACTTGTCCAACCAGTATTTCCAGATACAGGGGTGTTTTAAAGTAGTCTTCAGTACTGCAAGATAGGGCTGTGAGGCTAGCAGTGTCTGTAGAGAAAGATTGCAAGTTGGATAGTCTTGGAATGCAGTTATGGGGAAGCTACGCTGTAAAGATAGAGGTTTGCTCTCTGTAAATGCTGTCTAGAATACTATAGATTGTTTAATTGTTTCTCAAGTTCGTAGTGTATTAGAGCTCAAACCCGAAGTATAACCTGCATATGCAGGTTAGTGCAGTTAAAATTGGAGCTGTGCAGGTATTTCTGATGTCTACCTGCACCTAACCTGCACTGGTCCATGTACATGTACTGGGTATATGCAGGTTAGTGCAGGTAAAATTGGAGCTGTGCAGGTATTTCTGATGTCTGTCTACACCTAACCTGCACTGGTACATGTACTGGGATTGTTAAGTATTTCTCAAGTTTGTACCATGTCTTTAATGTTTTCTTGTGTTCTCTACAGCTAAACAAGTAGCAAAGAAGTCTCAGAAGAAGAAGATGAAGGAGTTGAATAAGAAGGGAGACAGTAAAGACACAGACCTTATGGATGCATTCAGAGAAAAGGAAGAGGTAAGGAAAATGTTCCTTGGAGTCTTGGAGTAGAAAGACTTCAAAAACTTTTTTTGTAGACTGTATTGGGGGAGAAATTGTACGATGACATACAAAAATCTGTATTTGTGAATTAATTATTGTGAAATGGAATGCAAGAAACGAAGATTGCAAAGAGTACCCTACCCCCCAAGTACACAATAGTTGTCTAGCAAATACATGTAAGAAACAGTAACTGTTGATCTGTACAAGGTTGTGCCAATATTTCCACCTTGCCCCCTCTCTAATTTTTACAGGCCACAGTTAAACTTGAGACAAGTCAAATATTTGTATGGTTATAATCTTTCTATTCAATTGTACGTCTTGTAGTAACTGCTTTTTTTTTTTTAATTTTTATAGAGCCAAACAGTAGAAGAGCCAAAGCCTGTTGAGGAGCCAAAGACAGAGCCTCCCCCTCCCCCCACCCTAACCCAGGCCAAGCCTGAAGAAACCAAGACTGTAGAAGTAAAGGTAGAACCGCCAAAGGAGGACAAACCAGAGGTCAAGGAGGCTCCCAAGGTCGAGGTCGTTCCCCCCAAGGCGGAACCTCCCAAGGTTTGTTTGTTTGTTTAAGGAACCTCCAATTAGTGACAATACAACCACTACTCTATCTGGAGTCCTTTTACGTACATTGTAAAAATGTTTTTGGTCAGTTTCTTCCTCTTCTTCTTCTCCAAACAAATGAAAGGAACCCTTAATTATCATTTGCTAGGTTTTGGACAGTAAAATGCCCATGTAGCAACAATTAACATCAATTGTTAATGTTTACTGAAGGAAAACATATTGTTTTTGCTCTGTTTCCTCTTCTTCCCTTCCAAATACAAAAGGTCAATGACCAGAACCAGACGTCTGTCACCATGGTAACTGGTGTTGGGTTACATCATGTTGCAATTTTATAGCAGGAGGGATTTAGACTCTTGTCATCATACATGTGAATATGTTTGAGTAAGAATTAACAGAGCAGACCATATGCGAAGGTAAACATTATGCATTTGCTTTGCAAAATATATTACTTTTCTAGTAACAATATTACATTATACAATTTAGCCAAAAATTTTCATTTATTTCATGTAGGTCGACACGGCGGCTCCAACAAAAGACGACACGCCGGCGCCGAAAGTTGACGGCGTTGCCAACAATAACGAGACAGAAGAGAATGATGAAGAAGTCGTGGAGATAGAAGACAAATCTGGGTTAAAGTACAAATATAGGGAAGGTGAGAAAAGTCTACTTCATATCTTGATAAATAATGTTCACATACATTTGTTCCTTTATGTTACTTCATATTCTTTACACTTGGGATTTGTTTATATTTTCATGTATAAGACATCAAAGTTTCTCTTTGATTCCACAGTATTCTGGCAGCACATAGTTGCCATATGTAGTTTGCAAGATCATGTTTTTAGCATAGAATTAATAACAAGCACAACAAAGCATCTCTTAATTTTTTTGCATTCTGAGGCTATGTTCCAATATCATAGCCCCAACCATCTCTTTATAAAAGCATAAACATGCTAATATTTGGCAGACATGTAGCTACTCTCTCCATTGGTCGAACTCCTAATTGTGATGGAAAGTCTGGATCAGTCTATCCATTTAAAATGCTCAGAGAGTTTTACTTGATCTTAAACGATGTTTTGTCTGTTTTTCTGTATGCCGAAGCTGCCATGCTCGTGCCCTAAAAATGTTCAATTCACAAAAACTGAATTGTGCAGGCCAGTTTTGAGGAAAGGCTGAGAGCACTACAAGGAAATGATGAGTAACGCTTTGGTCCGTGTTTCTGACAACATCTGACGTTAAGAAGCGTTTTCCTCTGATCCGTTTCTGCAAGCATTTGTCCAATTCTAGACCCATTCGTTTGCAGCATTTTTAATGTAATATATAGCTGCTAAAGTAGAATAAGACAGGACATAACATCTGGGTAAAATGATCTGAATATGGAAAAGATAAGCTGACAGTCAACAGTTCCTGAACAGTTTTTAGTATTATACAACATTGTGTTTAAAGTTAAAACTTTTGGTCCAACACAAAGAAGTCCTCTCACCTAGAGCTTTTGACCAGTCACTCTGGTCTTCCTCAGTAGACTGACCCAGTGAAGCTTGTCACGTGGCTTCTTTGAAGTGTGACAAGGTCGAAAGCTCTAGGTGAGAGAATTTTTTGTGTTGGACCAAAAGTTTTAACTTTAAACATGTAACTACCAACACAGATGAACTTTCATGATGTCTAAAATAATGTTTTGTTTATTTTCTCTCCTCCCCAGACCAGTGGAGTCCGTTAAATCCTGAGGGGAAGAAGCAATATGACCGGAGTTTCCTGCTGCAGTTCCAGCCTGAGTGTATCGACAAGCCGGACGGACTGCCCAAGATCGTGGACGTGGTTTTGGACAAACCTCTCATCATCACGCCACAGCAGATGCAGGGGCGGCCGCAGGACTTCAGGGGGTACGTTTTTCAATAACACGATTTTCAGTGTTGCTATGACTAAACTAACCATTGACAGCAATGTACGACTACCTTTAGATAGCTGCCACAAAACCAGTGTTCAGACTTCTACTAGTCAGCATCCATCTTTCTGTCATTTTGCCTCTTATGACAAGCAAAAAGTTTGCCCAATCTGTCATCTTTGAGGACAAAACTTGGATATGGAAAGAGACATCATTAAACTCAGCTCAATGTACTAGCAAAATTTGCCCCTCAAAATGTAGGAAATAGCATTTCACAGGGTCAAAGAAATGTAATGAGCCTTGCTCTGAAATGAGCAATATTTCTTGATAAGATTGTAAAACAATAGGCACTATTGTTCTCTAGTTAGCCTTTGCTCTAGTTCATAAGTTGTCATATTCAAAGAAAACTCTTTTCTCTAACAATTTTTATGTGTCTTCCACATTTCCAGAATGGGAGGGTTCAACAAAGGCGGTCCCCCGGGTATCCCTGACCTGATGCCATCCTACATGAAGTCACCAGGAGGAGGCCATGGAAGAATGGTACATGTAGGTCTCACTACGCTTGCTAGGTGGATAGTCTGTGCTGTGTTAACCTTAACGTTCATGTTGTCTTGGTACACAAATTTGTAATATGTCTGTTTTATAGATAAAACTTAGTTGCACAACAAATTGTGTGTCAAGGTACAAACTTTAGTAACTTCTTGTACATAGCTACAGTTCCGTAAGGCTATTTTCCAACTCAAAAAGATTTTGACTCACCAAATTATCAACCTTATCTCTTGGCCTTCATCAGCTATCTTACCCAAGAGCTGTAGACATTATGATTTTTGCCATACATGACATCAGCACTGGTGGACAAAATACTGAGATTCGAAAATTCTGCTTAGTCAAATTCTTTTTGATGAGTCGGTGACGGTTATAAGATGTGCCAAAAGGCAGTTACTCAAGGAACTGCATCATTTCCAAAATCATATCGAGTTGCTTGAGTAACTATTTTTTGGCGGATTCGTCTTGAGTTGAAGAAAAGGTTAATTTTCCCTTTGTGATTAACCAACTCAGATGAACTTTTTGCTAAACATTTGCTGGTGCCTCATTCATGTGAATTACCTATTAATCCCTCTAAGAATTTGCGTCTAAAATGTGTTACTCAAAAGAACCATTGTTGATCATCGAAGAGAGAAGAAGTGGGGAAAAGTGCTTGAAAATTGTTGTTGCCTAGTGTACACTAAGCCTTGGAGTGTTTGAGCAGTTTTATTCTCACTGTGACCTTTGTTGACACAACGGAATGAGAAAGCATGAGAAGGAAATGATGAGCAACACTTTTCTCCGTGTTTCCGACAACATCTGACGTTAAAAAGTGTTTTCCTCTGATCCGTCTCTCGCAAGCATTTCTCAAATTTCAGCCCTATTCATTTACCACATTTTCACAATAACGTATAACTTCTAAAATAGAATAAGACGACATAAAACCTTCGGTAAAATTATCCTAATATAGAAGAAATCTAAAGGCAAAGACACTTTGTCTTGATCCATGCTTCCTGAATTGAGTGGTGTAGGTAAAATTTGTCTGGTGTAGGCAATTTTCAATGTTACCTGCACCAGTGCAAGTATGGAGAAAAAAGTGGTTGGAGCCTTGCTCTACAATTCCTCAAGTAGTGCAGATCCTGAACATAAAATCAACCAAATCTCTCGATCTTCATGCACTATCTGACCATTAGTGCTGTAGACACATTTCCACACATGACATCAGCACTTGTTGACAAAATACTGAGAGATTCGGTCAAATATTCCAGAATCAATTTAATTTTTAGTATGGGAACAGTTTAATTTTCCCTCTGTGATTAACCAACTCAGATGAACTTTCATGCTAATGGTTTGTTTTGTTTATTTCCTGCTTAGGGCCCTAACATGGGGCGTCAGCAGAGCCGTGGAGGGAACAGGAGAGAGCCGCGGAAGATCATCCCCAGCGTGCACACCAGGCTGGACGATGTGGAGCTGAACAAGGCTGACAACGCATGGAAACCCTCCACCATGAAGAAGGGCGCCGACAAAAGCCCAGAGGAGAAGGAAACTGATGTAAGATACTTTCAAGTGCAAAAACAATTTCAGAAGAAAAACTTTGAAATTCTAGATTTTTACAATTGATCGTGAATGATTAGGAAAAGAGCAAGATGAATCGAGAAAGAAAAGGAACTAAATGATGGAAAGCACAGTCAATTGTCAAGAAAACTTGGAAAATATAAATTTGGAGTCAAAATCTCCTGTATCAAGGCGAATTTGTTGAAGGAGATTCCAACTTTTCAAATTTACAACTTTTATGACATCAAGAATTTTTACCAGTAAAAACTAGTTGAACAGAAACTTACTGAAATAACAGTAAGGACACATAATAGAAATGTCTTATACTGTAAATCATAGTAATCAAAACTTTG